CCTATTAATAAAAACAGTCATAAACATTTTTCTTAGCACAGTTCAGGACAAGGACAGAAGTGTTTCCAGTACCTATGGGGTTTCTGTACTTCGTAGCACAAGCTTGTCATGCAGAGGCTACACCAGCTTACTTCTGGCTTTTGCATTCAAAGAAAGCTGGCTCTCCAAAAAACTCTATTGGTTTACCAGTTGCACATTAACTTCAAAAAGTCCAGTCATCTGACAAGGACACTGACCAAGGGAGACAAAGGATTGCATCATCTTCAGCCTGGTTCCCTTGCATCTCTGCTAAGACAATGTACATATAAAATCCTGGCAACACAGTATTTAAAATCTGCCTTTTCCATTGTCTGGACATCTAATCCACTACGATCCAAACAAAATGGAAAGACTCTTTTCTAGAGTACTAGGGAAATCTGTAGTGATTATCTCAGGCAGATATTTACATTGTGTCCTTGGACTTCAGTGACATGAACACCAAAGACAGGCATGTTCTTTATCCGAAACAACAACAGTAAAATGACAAGTGTTAATTCTAAAAGCTTTAAACACTATTTTGTGAGTAAAGAAGATGTAATTATATTCTGAAAAAGAATCAACCTAAAACATCTGGGGTATCAAAGCAGGCTTGCAGTGATAAATGTGTTGGAAAAAGCCAATCTTTCAGTTGACCTTAGTGCACATCAATGTGTATAGAATAAACAGTGACTGAGCTCTTGTAACACATCCCTTATAGGAATACTTGAGGGACAAATGCATAAAAGTATTTTGCACTGTTCCATTTTCACATTCATAAATGTCAAAACCAGAGCTTTCCAGTGACCTTGCTCTGCTCAGGACTATTACAACTAACGGAGCTACCACAGCCTCATCCTCCCAACCCTCATGGTTCACTTCTTCCATGCTAATTCACATACAGATCATTTGAGGGGAAAAAAACCCACATCCATATCTAAGCTCTACTCCTCCTCACTTTCTATCCCTTCTCATAACAGAAAAGGGTAGGTGATTCTAGCTCAGGCACGAAAGAGAAACTAAGACAGCCCCAGAAACACATCCTAACACCTAACACATGCAGCAAGATGTCTGAGCACAAAGCTTATTCGAGGATTCACTACTGAACTATTTCATGAGCATTAGGAAGTCCATGCTCTGCCATCCCACAGCTCCATTTCTCTAAAGTGGCAACCAGCCTTGCTATAACTTGCGGTTTGGAAAAACAAGGGAAAGCAGTAAAGAATTCAGATTCTTTAGCCAAAGGATGAGAAGACTGAAGGACCAAAATCCTAACAGTCTTTAAAAAGATACTCTGCAGCCTCCTAAACTAGTTCATCTTATGGTCTAACTGGCCTCACTGTTACAAGGTTCACCTCTGCTGTCTAACATAACTTTGACTTGCTGGAATCTAAACCTAGTACTTATCTGCTATATCAAGAATATGGAGAAGAAATTATTCCCTTTGTCTTTGCATCATCAGACTCACTAACTTTTCTCACTGGCTGTAGAAATTGTATCATAATATTCCATGGAGTTAATTTTGGACTTCCAGTTAACATAGACTAGCAGTATGGAAAATATTTAATATATCAGATAATCCTAGTTGCCTAGGGTAGAATTCATCACCATTTGAGGCAAGTACCTCAGGCTTCCTTTATAGTCCATGAAGTGCTGGCCACGATGCACCTCATCTTCAAGTCTAAAGTCATAAAAGGTCCATTTCCTCTTCAGGTGGGCATAGGGTAACTGTTTCAGCTATGGATACATATATAAGAAACACAGACTCACAGAATAATTTCCTTTGCAAGGGAGCTTCAGAGGTCATCTAGTCCAGTCTCCTGCTCAAAACAGGTCTAGTAGGTCAGGTTGCTCAGAGCTGGGCCCAGTCAAGTCATGATACCTCCAAGGATGGATATTTTACCAACTCTGAACAAACTGTTTCAGTATTTGACCACCCTCATAGTAAAAAAATGTTTCCTGATATCTAATCAATTTTCCTATTTTTCAACTTGTGCCTATTACAGATATGTAAAATCAGCTGAGATCTGACCCCTAATGCAATGAACAGGCTTTTCTCTTATAATATTGTGCTTGTGCTCACTTTTGTTGAAAGTCTTTGTAGCATGCAAAAGTTTTTAAACCTGTGTCAGTGAGTTCCAAGCATTAGGAAGACATGGAATTAGGAAAGGTGTAAAAGTTTCAATAGTTAATATTTCTGGAAAAGGAAAGTAAGCAGATACCAAGTACAGAAGTCAAGGGACTCATCCATAAAATGGTTGGGTTTTGTCTTTCTATTCAAAATCTAAGAACAAAGAAATATAAGCAAAATCAATTAGAAACCCTAGAGTTCATTTGGAGGACGTCCACTGATAATTGAAAAGACTAAGTAAAGGAATATTAGAGTTGTTACTGTGAGACTACAGAAAAAAAACAAAAAATGAGAGCTGCCCAGCCACTTCTGGGTAAAATCTATGCATTTGTAATAGACAAAGCTCATCTGCCTGCTTATAATTCAGGAAAGATCAGAGTGTTGTTATCAGTATAGAAGAATTTGAATAATAAATTTAGGTGGAAACCATCATTTGCACTTCCCATTTGGTTAGAAGGGCATTGTAACAGCTGTTTTTCTCACAAAAAGCAGCTGACTGGTGATATTATTTTTCAATTAATGATGTTACACTATGAATATATTACTGCATGTAGACATGCAAACAACAACAATTAGTGAAAGAAATTCAGCAATGTAACAAAGTAGGTTTTGGTTTCCATTTAATTAGAGGGTAGGAAAAGTCAGAGGTGCAGTAAACCCCTTTTGGACACAGTGAAATTTGTATGCTGAAGGCTCTCAAAACAATCCAAGACAGACTGAGTGAACAGATCTAGAAAAAGTGCGAATTTAGGAAAGTGTAGAAGAACAGAGAATAAAGATGCAAAGACTTGGAGCAGTGTTGAGAAAATCTAAGGGAATTTTGCTTTTTAAACAAGAATGTAATTTTGCATTGTATCTGTAAATGAATAGTGATTTCAGTTATTTAGAACTGAAATGCTGTCACTTTATGTCTTTACATCGTTACATGCACTAAGCCACACTCCATAATTATGCACTTGGTTGAGTGCAAAAGTAAAGCTTTTTGGTTTTACACTCCAAATCACAATAGAAGAGATGATACAAAAAGGAAAACAGCCTCATGTTAAAAGACAACATCCTTCTGTAGTGATGCTTGTGAACTCCATTCCATATATTAACTTGCATTTCACACTATCTGTGGAAAACATAGCCTAATTTGGGTCTATAAGAGGTGAGATCTGTATTAACTAGCCTTAAAACTCTAATGTACTACTCTTCCATAAAATGAGGACCAAATCAAATAGCTGAAACAACAACCTCTGAGTACATGTTACTAAGTCTTTAAACGTATCAGTAAGTCACAGAATATTCCCAATTCTTCTCAGAAACAAACAAAACCACCAAATAACAGGAAGGACTAAATAAGCAATGGATATGACCCAGGAAAAACAAGATCTGCTTTGCAGGTACGTGACTCATGACTAACATATAAAATTATAATATATGCTCTATGCCTTGCTATAAATGTGTGTGTGAATGTCAGCTGGTGCAAATGAGACTCTCCATTTAGACCTTGGCTTTCCTTTCTCAAGCCATTCTGCTCTGTTTTGTGCTCCTTTTCAAGACAATAAGCAGATGAGCACACTTAGATACTGTCCATGTAAAGCTAAATATCAAGAGTTCACATTCCAACACCTGAAGACTGAAGACAGACACCACCAAAAGACATTAGTCCTTTGTGAAATGGAATGCTTTATGCTATGAATTTCTGTAAATGCTTCTTTCACACCACCAGCTGAGAAAACAGTGCATGGGCTTTCTGTTCTGTTATCCAGAAGGAAACATGAAAGACACTCTGAAAATTCTGGGGAAATGTATTGTTGTAAAAAAACATTTGTGCAATATGGAAAAAACAAAAACTTTTACTTCCCTGACATCTGCAAAGTGAAAGATGAAAAAACACATAAAACTATCCTAGAAATGCACACACTTTTTCTTTAGAACTTGAGAGGCCCACACGATTGAAAAAACAATGTATAAAAATTCCATCAGGATTTGTGTTTCTTATAGTATTCTTCACACATTCTACTACAGTTTATTTGCTACTTTTTCTGCAACTACTAAAGAGTTTTGTTATCCAGCTCGTCTCTCACTACCTACATGTTGGTCTGTAAAAGCACAGAAGATTCTGACTACAGAGTAAAAGAGAACACAAACATATTTGAAAACAGCCCACAACTCCACCTTTGTTTCTCTCCTGACCTGCATGCTATCAACTTCTTTCAATCTATACTTTGATATCTTGCCTAATCTAGCCATTGTGTTGGGTTTATGTAACAATTAACAAACTCAGTTTTCCTAGGATTTTTGAAAAGAGAATGGTTCCACATTTCTATAAGTTTTGTAATGTATTTCTCACATGACTGTGAAAGTACTTTTTTTTCAACTTACAGCATAGAGATAATACCATCTAATTTTCCCAAATACATGGTGTTGCAGATGTCACATAGCCTTAAAAACATCAAAATATATGCCACTAATACACTGAAATAACTATCTTCCTCTGTACTACATTCCAGAAAAATACTTGGTGTAATCAGTGTCTTTCTTTTACACACCTTGCTGATTTTTCCCATAGCACAGATTAGAGAGCTGTCATCTCTAAAAAAAAAAAAAAATCAGCTTAGCCCAGAACACCTAAAAACTTCCAAGTCAAAATGGCTGGTAAGTTCACTAAATTGAAAACGGCGAATTATTACAAATATATTTGAATATATTTGAATGCTCTTAAGAATATTTACAGAACACAGCAAATTTTACCGTCAGATTAAAGTAATAATTAGTTTTGACATTTATATTCTCACCAAGTCACTCATGCAATGTTTTAAAATGTTGGCAGGGATATAATTTTTTTTAAAGTTATAGTTTGACTTACTGGAAAGTACAGAAGAAGTGATCCAAAAAGAATGGTTTCCAACAGCACCAGCCCTGAAGCCCTGATACTCTAGAAGACAAAAACCAACACAAAATATTAGAAAATTCTCTCTGTGTGACATTTCAACGCTAGTTTCTTTGCAGAAGGCACCTTCACTATTGTCAGTATAACACTTCCACAGTAAAGCTTATTAAAGCAGAATATTAAGCTGTCTGTCATACTGGCATGCTCTGCACTCTTTAATTCACAGGCCCATTAAAATGGTTGTGTTTTACAAAATCCAATTTAAAAAAAAAAATCACTCTTTCCTATGTCAAATACTATTCAACACACAATACCTGGATACAATTTGAAACTGCTAAATTTGCTCTCAAGTGTAAAGAATTATGGATCATGGGAATTACAGGTAAGAATTAACTGTGGAATTTGTTCTGCATTGTTTAAATTTCAAGAAGTCCTTTGAATATTTTTACTTATTTCACATTAAAGACTTGGCTTCTATAATATGTATGAATAATCTACCATTTTACTGAATGTAGTGTGCTCTTAGATTGAAAGTGCCTTTATTTTTTCTGACATTTTGTACAAAGATGTTAATTCGGATATTAATTTGTCAGGATTGTAAAAATACCATGCTATTTCCTTACTGATTCTAATGTAGTCTCTCCATCATGTTTTCTTACATCTTAAAATTAAACAAAAAAATCAATTCTTTTTCCTAACACAAAGTGTATTCAAACAAGTTTGATGATTTATGTAGAGTGCAACTGTGCCTTATCTTAGAGACAAAATGTCAGCACTGCTTCCCTCTTCTTTAACCATCTCCTTCCCCAGGGAGTTTCACACTTTGTGATGTCAAATTCCCAGCACAAAATTATAAAAACTATAAAAAGCATTATAGGACTGTGTCCACAAGATTCCTTTTGTGGCCCTGATTCTGCCATACGTGGAAGCTTCACTTGTTTTGATATAGTTTTCCTTCACAACATCTTTGTAAGATGACACTTTTCTCCCAGGAACCAATGCAGAGGGGTCTGCCCAACACCATACAAGACACTGGCAGAGGTCAGTGAACTCATCTCTCATGACTGAGCAATACTCAAACCACTGAAGAAACTCTTTTTTCTTATTTTATACAATGCATCTGTGTGTGATAGGATGGCCAACAAAGTGAAACAGACTTCATACAGGGAAGATGGAAATTATCTAAAACATCTGGTCTTCATATAGCTTCTGTGTGAACATCCTTTTCTAAACAAGTTTTCACATCCTGATCAGTCTTTACTTATCGAGTTTTTTTCTGGATGGCTTGATTGTAAGAGAACCTGCAGGGGCAAAGAACTTCAGCATTTACAGCTCTTCTTCCAAAACAAGTAATTAATCCATGATTTTCTTCTCACCTGTGTTCAGGGAGGGACCATTCTCTGTGAATTCTGTCTATGCACTTCTCCTTCCTGCCTTAAAAGAAATGTGGCTTACAAAGAAACACCGAAATTCAAAATGAGCTTGAATCCAAGTTTTGACTGTGTTTTTTGTCTCAGTCTTTGATACCAGGAAAATGGAGGTTTTAACCCAATGTTTAAAGATATCATAGCTCTTCTTAACAGGATTCCTCATTAAATGGAGTAGACATTCTAGTACATATGAATGCTATCCACAGCGATGAAGAAAAGCACAAAACTTCAAATAAGAAATAGTACAACCAACGAATTATTTTTGTGTAAGTGTAGAGAAGAAAAATAGTATGGAAATGGAAGTATGAAAATTCTCCCAATCTACATTTTTGAAACTGTTAATTTTTGCTACTGCAAAGAAAAAGAGATATTTTAATAACTGATTTTAAAGATACATGAATTCCATTTATCTTCCATAGTGACCACTATATTCCGAAAGGTAAAGTCCAGGAAGAAAAAACTCCATCCAGCACTGAAGCTTTAACAACAGGGAATAAGTAATGAGGAGAAAAACAAACTAAAACAAAATGTTTTAAATTTTATTAGATAAATGTATGGTATATTAGATAACTAGGTATTTCTAGCAGTCTCTGAGTAATAGCTTTTTGACCAAAAGCTAAATCTTCCACTGTACAGACTTTGCAAATATGGGCCCTCAGGCATGGCTGGGGGCAGCATCACAAATACATCTACGACACACAGAACAGTGAATATGCCCACATACCTCAAGAAAAAAGCCTTTGCTCTTTTAAGAAAATAAATGAAAGAATGATAAACCAAAGCCTAATGATAAACCAAAGTCTCCACCAGCGGGTGTCCACCAATACTGGCTGCACAAATAAAATTCTCTGACGGAAATCACAGAAATCAGGGCATTTTATGATACAGCCCTGAAATTTCATGTAATGGGATTTTCTTCAACTTGCATTTAATGTTTGCTCAATTTCTTCTTCTTTTCCTTAACAGCTGCCTGGTTTTTTGCATCTGCCTTGCTTGTTGGCATTTATTTTGGTTTTACTTATTTATTTCTCTGGTTGTTCATCTTGTGTACAGTTTGTTTATTGCCACTTTGCCTGTGTGCTCATTTCCCTTTCAGGGTTTTATTTCTATGTTTACTTTTTTGTGTCAGTAAAACTGTCCTTTCTGGATTTCCTAGTCACACTCAATGGTTACACATTGCTGACACTTCAGTGATACTGCACTTTATTTTGCTTCTAGTTTCATACTAACTTTCAAACTTAACTTAGCTACCTATACCATCTACTGATCTAGGCCTGTTTGTGAAGGACTGATTTATGCCTTAAGATTTGCTCAGTCTTCCATCTACTCATTCTATCTAGACCACATTAGTAGCCTTTGAGGTAAGCAGTCATTCCTTATCCTTCTGTCTTAGAAAGTAACACCATTTCTTGGGCGAATCATTAAGAAAGCCATTCATGCCCCTTGGGCACTGCTAAAGAGTCATAAATAAATACTTAACAATTATTTGCATGAGAGAAATTTAAAAAATAAGCTGTGTAAGTTGCATCAAGTAGAACAAAATAAAAAGCTGAAATTATGTATAAATATGCACAGAAGATACTGCATTTCAATTCTCTATGGTCCTAAGCAATCCAGGAAATACAGCAGCATTAATTACCACTGAATTCCTGAATGTCACCACACAAAGTCAGTGATATGAGTGTCAAAGTATTTTCAGAGTGGAGAAAAAAAAGAAGAAATTAAAACCCAAAATAAAATTAATGTAATCCTGTATCTCTTACATTGCATAATACCGAATTACTAGAACTAAAGACTTTTGGTATCAGTCCAGGAAGACTGCAGATTCCTCCAGGGCCACATGTCACTGTGTATTTTATGAGCATGATACCATGGAAACCTAGTGAGGGGAAAAGGTTGGCATATTTTGATTTGTTTTCACTTTTGTTAAACAGTTCTGCCACTTCTATAACATAAAGAATGACCAAAGAAGGCTGTGATTTAAAGAAAATTTCCTTTTGCAAAGATGGCTTCACCAGAATGTGAGCTTGTCGTACAGATAAATGAAGCATACAAGAAATTATTAGGGAAAAAAATGAGATAGAATTCTTCTTTGATCTCTACATTAAATACAACACATTCATATTTATTAAATTGTAAAGTGTATCTACCACTCAATGTACAACTGGAAAACACATATGGATACAAGACAGAATGGTAGAGAAGCAAGGAAAGACAGAGAACAGGCCCAAGTGTGCTCTGCTGTACTAAGCTGATGTATTTGAAGTGACTAGAAAAATTACTATGCAAAACTGTCTCAAAACAAGTGAAATGAAAAGGTTAGCTAAAGGTATGTGTAATGGTAACATGCTCGCTCTCCAGTGCTCCCAGGAGGACCTTTGTGACCCTTGTGGTGCAGATCCATTCTCCTCTACATGTGAGGACATGAGAGACGTGATGAGATGGACTATATTCCCAAATCTCTCCCTTCCCTGAAAACTCTTCCTGTTCAAATTCTTGTTTCCTGGTACAACTGGTCTTTAGTTCTACTAAACAACAGAGGTGAAAAGAGATTTTTGTCAAGTTGAAAATACGTGGTCTGAAGTGGAGCAGGCTGAAATGTTCTATTACCAGTTGCTTTTCTTATTAAAATACACCTTCCCAACAAACAAATTTTTTTCAGTATGACTGTATTTTTCCTTTGATTTTCATGTGCTGTTTTTCTAAAGCCCACTGAACCTTTTTCCTCTTTCTTATTCCATATATCTTTTCCCAACTACAAAAATACAGTTATCATTTTCAGTGAAAGAGTTGTGTGGAAAAACTGAAGTGCTAACTTTCAGGAATTTTATCTAACTTAAAATTTACTTTTAAGAAACAGAATACAGAGACCCTTCTTTCCGTCCATGAGGCTGAGCAACAGCAAGATGTTTGGCTCTTTGTCAAGAGACAAAAGTTGCCAGTTCCCAGACACTGATATTAAGAAGAGTAGAAAAGAGTGGAAATACATTTCATTGTGGTGGTTATCTTAATACTGCTCAGATCTGGAAGAGGATTACTGGGGACTAAAGAATGAGCACAAAAGCAACTGGAAGGAGTTCTTTGAACCCTCAGTGAGTACTATCATAATTTATTGATTTTCTTGATAATAAATTCAGAGACTGATTAGAACTGCTATCCAGGAAAAGGGAACTGTCAATTCCCATAACAAAGCTATGCTTTAATTTTATTTTTGTTGGTTAAGGAACAAAACTCAAGCAACTCATTCCCAGCTAACTGCAGGAAACACCCTTCACTTCAAGGGAGAAAGACATGGAGCTCTTTTGAAAATTGCACTGCAAAACAATAGAAGAGAAAATTGTGTGTCCTGTTCAACCTCTTGCCACACTGACAAACACTTTTAATGATAATTGTTCTATTTGAATAATATCTATTAATAGAATATGGATTGCAAACACAGAAGATTTCATAGCAAAGGCCAATTTTCCAAAGACAGGCCTACAGTTATGTGCTGCCACTTAAACTATATTGGCAAATTGTCCGAATTTTCTGGCATTTGCAGGTTTTGTGCAGTATTTCTAAACCAAATAAATATAATCCTCATGTTCTTTCATTTCCCCTTAAAGCCTTTGAAGA